TTTTGTTGTGGGGTTTAAAGGGTTAAATATGTAAGATGGAAAAAACTGCATTAACTGAACTGTATTATTGTGTTTTGGCACAAGAGAGATCTGTTAGTTTAATGTAGTTTTGTGGCTCACCATTGTGCTGGAGAGTAGAGCCTGTGCTTCAGTCAATGATGAGCCACACACACTGATGTTCTGCTGCTTTATTTAAAGGCAGTAACTGTGGAGTTAATGCAGTGATGATCACTTTGTTACTTTGTCTCACACATGTGTGCTGTAGCTAACAATGAACTGCAACGATTTGAGTTAAAGTCATATTTTTAGTTATTTTGCTGTTACACGTTAAGTGTTTGCAGTTTTATACTAAGAAATATTCCTTCTCAGTGGACTCAAATGAAATAAGTTCACAGTACTAATATCGTATGAACGCTAGTTTTTAAACCCGAAGAGTTTGAAGCAATGGGAGCGGAGTTCATTTCCATGGTAGAATTACGGTAAAACACTGTAAAAAATAAGAGTTGTAAATTAACGGTTGAAAGCTGTAAATTAACAGTACCTTACTGGCAACCCTGCTGCCAGTAAATTACTGTTATTTAACGGCACAATTTTTTACAGTGTAGTGAGCGAGCTAAGCACTGTCCGCGCTGCTGTCACCACAGGCTGACATAAACGAGGATCTGCACGCTGCTGAAATGATTGAAATACACTGTTTTAAATGTATTTTAATGTAATGGTTTTAATTGTTGGATTTAGGCTATACGAATTAAATAAACACAAATTTGTTTTCGATTGTTTTATTTCAGTAGACCTTTAGACATAACTAGACATTTATTTTACAAAAGCGATTTGTAACGTTTTGTTGTTATTGTGGAAGTATAGAAAATAAAGCAGACATTTCTTTCCTCTGTTATCACAGTGTAGCCTGGGGTCGCGCCGGCGCCGCCGAACCGAGAAGAGCAGTGTTGTGCTTTACATGAGATGTATATTTGCAAGAAATATAGACCATACAACAGCCAGACAGTTTGAAGAAACGTTATTGTGACTAATTTGCAGAGCGGTACATGAGATGAACTCTTATTCT